GACCAATTCGCTATACGTCCTCATGTCATATTGAATGCATGCCTATCACTTAGTTGGCCGGATAACTCGTTCCAGCCACGAAGCCGAGTAGCTCAACTCAGGCCAGGAGCTGAAAAGTGAAATTGCACACTCTAGCGGTAGTAAGGATATGCATGGAGCTATTGGCATAAGTCCAAAGGTGAGATTGACCACCTGGCAGAGTGGACTCCCTGAGAGTGCTAGATGATTGCTTTAGCTTGCTCTTGTTTTGGCTCAACATGTTGGTTAGTTCTTGATCAATGAATGGGTGCAATATCTGAACTTAAGTTCACTTGTGTGCCATGCCTAATATGCTTCCTATTCCCCTATAATAGGTTGTGTGTTGTTTAGTTAAATAACTCTAGGTGCCTATGTTTTTCATGATCTTATGTTTGCTTTGAATGCTATTATGTGATGCATCTCATATTACCATTCTTCATATTCATGCACTTGCATCTTACATCTCATCTAGGTACGCTAGATGAACCACGTGAAGGACGTGATGTTGGAGCCGAACCCAAAGACGGTGTATGGTGGACCTATCCCGAAGATGGAAGGACTGGACAAGTGCTAGGATGGGAGATACTCGTCAAGCGAGTGTCATCTAACAAACACTAACCTAGTGTTGGATTACAAGCAAGCCCCGGAGCATTCTAAGCCTCCTATATTTTTATAAATATAACTTGAGTTCTTTTATGTTTGATGCATTAGGTTATAAGAGTTGATTGGAACCACTTGATGCATAGAACTACCTTGTCTAGAAATATACCTTGAACCCTATGTAGGTCCAGGATCGAATGTATGCTTAGCAATGCTTAGACCGGTAGAAGTCAGGTGATTTCCTGTCACCTACGAGATATAGGTGGATACCAAAGCACGGTTGGCTATATTTGCTATCATAGAAATAACCAGGTATTAATAATGAATGGAGACCGGGCGGGATGTCGATAGAGAAGCAACAAGACATGGAAGTCTTGGGTGTGGATCTATCCCCATCTGTGTCGGTTAAGGACCGATTCGCTGTACATCCTCATGTCATGTTGAATGCATGTCTATCACTTAGTTGGCCGGATAACTCGTTCCAGCCACAAAGCCAAGTAGCTCAACTCAGGCCGGGAGCCAAAAAGTGAAAGTGCGCACTCTAGCGGTAGTAAGGATGTGTGGGGAGCTATTGGCGTAAGGCCAAAGGTGAGATTGAACACCTGGCAGAGTGTTCTCCCTGAGAGTGCGACGTTGGGCGGACCCACGAATTTGTTCCTAAGTTGTACCAAAGGTGACCCGAGGCAACCACTGATCAGGTTGATTGGGTTTGTGTTAGGAATAATTCCCCAGCTGGGTAGGAATCGATTCGAATCACCATCTCTCTCAGATAGTGAGAACTTGGCTGAGCAGCGGCAACGTAGATACACTTAATTGAACTTGATGGTTATAATGATGATGATGATGTTACAACATTATAACGACTATGGTTACTATTGCCTATTACTAAATGATATTCCACATGTTTGGCACAGGTTAGTTGCTAATCTAGAGATGAATAGCTATAATTAACTTGGTTACTGAATTGTAAAATGTATAGCTCAACTCTTGGCTTTTATACAAAATGTTGTCTAGCTAGCTCCACCTATAAAGCCTTGCATACTCCTTGGTGTCACTTTATTTTTGGTTTATGACGGGTAAGTCTAGCTGAGTACATTCAAGTACTCAGGGTTTATCCCACCATGTTGGAGGTGAAGTTCTTGGCCTGCTGAAGATGGTGGCTAACTACCGGTGGGCTCGGTGACTCTATATTTAATTCTCATCTATATGCTTTTATCAGAGGATGTCACTTATGCTAGCAATGTATTTGGAACTTATATTAATGTAATCATTTGAAAGCTATGTTGTTTTCACTAATCGGTTTTGAAACCCAAACTTGTACTATTATTTGTGAACCCATTTGTAATATTATTTTCGCTGCAACTCTGCATATGTGATGTGTATTTGCTTAATCACGTGATCTTGGTTGTGATGTTGATTTACCGAGGTCCTTCATGACACTCGGCGGACTACCGGGGTTATATAAGTTAAAGTATGCGTGTGTCAATGTGATAGCGGGGACAGTCGTACTTGATCTTGTATAAATTGGGCGGTTCTGTCACACCGCTGCCACCATCGGCGGATGCCCCAGCGCTGGCGGCCTCCTCCTCCAACCTCTCCAGTCACCTCCCTACCTCCCCCTCCTCTCCCCGCCCATGTGCATCCGTGTCCGTGTCCGCGGGAGCGCCTGAGCGCGTGCGATGCGGCGCTGGGCCGCGCGATGAGCAGGTGCCATAGCCGCCGCCCTTGTCTCACTCATGGCACGCCATGGAGAGGGCCTCCACCGTCGGCATCGCAGCCCCCTCTCCCCCTACGGCCGCCGCCCTATCCACTCCTCTCCCTCGCGTGGGATATACTGAGTGCGGGGCTCGAGCGTGTGGTGAGCAGCCCTAGCCAGCCACCTCCACCGCAGTCACCAGCAACCAGGAGGATGGCGGCCGCGTCACGCAGAAGGTCGTGGAAGTCACCTTGGTGCCCCGCCCGCAGCAGCAGCAGCCGATGCCGGGAAGCCCTAGTGGGGACGGATCTCGAGCCACGCGGCCCTCATCTTGGTACACGTCCTCTGGGGTCAGCGGCATGCTGTAGTGGCTGGCGTAGTCCTCCACCAGCGATCCCTCGCCCCCTCTGTCGCCTGAGCTGGTTGTTGCCACTGTGGCCACCTCGCCTAGGTCACCGGTAGCTGAGGCGCCTGCCACGCCTGACAACAGTCCGTCACCCATGATAGGGAGTGGGGGAGCGAGCACAATGCCGAGTGCGTCCTGTTGGCCGCTGGCACCTCAGGCCTCCCATAGCCCCTCCCCTCTCTCACCATACGTGGCTCTGTTCCACCCGGGTTGCTTCTCTAGTGGGCGCATGAAGAGCCATCGATGGGTGGACAACGACAGCGAGGAGTTCGACGATGACAACCCTACAACCTACCTCGACATTGTTCGTCACCCAGTAAAGCCGGTAGATGCATCCCTGCCATGCGCCAAGCATCGTCCGATCATGACTCAAGGCCGTGGTGTGGTGGATGCTGGATGGCAAGGACCTAGACAAAGATGGAGGAGACGCAGCTGGCCATGCCCCTAGCTAGTGCACAGCCTACCAGCGCGGCCATTGGATGGCCGTATCCCTGCCCGCCAACACCTTGGTCGTTGCAGAAGGATCTCCGCCCCCAACGCTGATGGGTGGTGGGAGATCCTCCCATGGTAGGAGATGCAACCTATGACTGCCTCGGTTGAGCATCGCCAAAAGCAGCTCCTACTGGCACGAAGGATCCCCGCAGAGCTTCGCGACAGATGCTTTAACCATCTCTCCTACTCGCACCGCGTCGCAACTTGCCAGTTGCCACAACATTGCCTGCGCTGCCATGGCTACTGCCACCTTGCCAGGGACTGCAAGCGACACAGGTCTATGAAGTTGATAACGACGGGTGCCAACCTGCCATGGCACTCTGCTCGTGGTGACCCTCTGGCCTCCCAGGCGCCACACGGTGGTCCACCGAGCTTGGATGGGGCAGCGCATAGGGCCACGGAGGGCGCCGACAGCACCTACCGCCAACGCTGACGCCGCCGTAGTAAGCCGGCCAAGGACATCAGCAGGGGCGTGCTTGCCGACAATGCCACTTCTTCTGCTACTACACTTTGCTTCCTTGAGACAGATCCACTAGCATTGGCGTTGTGTGCAAGCGTGGGACCTCCCGCATGGGTCATCTCCTTTGACCCGATGTTGGAGGAGCTTGCTGCCTCCTTGTCGTGAGCCAGCCAATGAGAGTAGCAACACCTGAGTGTCTACCTGCTACGATAGCCCCTCAGGAGGTTGAAGCACCAGTGGTGGACACCAGTTCCCCGACGACGACTGCTCAGTGGACGATAGACTTGTCTCTAATGTCGCCAGTGCAGCGGCTGCCATAGTTCACGCCACCATGAGCGGGAGCACCTAGCGTCGTAGATGGTTGCACCACCCCCAGCGACGCGATGCCCACACCATGCAAAGCTGCCTGGCGTCTAGCATGGTTCATTGAGGAGGTGCAGCTCAAGCGAATGTTGCCATTAATCGCTAGCCCACCAAGGCAGAAGGTGACAACCAAAAGGCAACCCCTGCCAAAATAGAGTAGACAGATTGCCGCTCAGCCGCTGGTGCACATTCCAACCTCCAAGTGGGGCGAGGTACTCCTCATGCGGAGGATGGGCTTTGCACCGCCGGTAGCTCCAATCTCATCCGCATCTAAGCGAGCATACGATGACTTATTCGCGAGGAACTTCACATCGAGCGAAGTGGAAGCACTAGACATGTTGTTCCCGGCGACCAATGCTAGGACTGGTAGAAGACTCTTCTCAGATGACAGAGCAGGGTCACAAGGCCAGTAGCGGAGACGCCTAGCTCTATAGGTTACTACATAGTTCGAAGGACTGGTAGAAGACTCTTCTCGGACTATTCGGTTGTTTAATTTTATGTAATATCAAAGTTTGAAACAATCTGCTAGGAATGTCCAGTCACAACTATAAGACCTCCTCGGGCGCTCATTAGAAGCGTGTTGTGTGTATGGTTAAACTCTTCTTCTTAATTACAATGATACGCAAATCTTTTGCGTATTCGAGAAAAAAATTCTTTATTTTTGTAAAATGGGTGGTTTGGTTGAAGATCAAATAAAAACTTCATTATAGATTGATCGAGAATTCCATCGAATAGTGCGCCTTGACAACAAAAACACTTGCTTAGCAAGTACTACTAAATACGAAGAGAAATAATAAGAGGACTAATTAGAATAATTGAATCAGTCTGCATCCTTCCTAGCACGATGCTTAATCCTCCTTTATTCCAGTGCCCCTGCCAATGGCTATGGTCATGTCGGCGAAGATGGAGAGAGCTCCAACATAGAGGCCTCCCATAGCAGCCGCTGTGGGGATGTGATGTTTGAGCTATGCATAGGTAGCACCATCACCCCTTCCAGGCATGGCCAGGCGCTGGTCCTTGAGCTGCCTCGTGATGTCCCTCGCCGACGACCCTAAAGTGATCACCCAAAACTGAAAGAGCAGCGTGCACGAGGCGAGTAGTAGCACGGTGTAGATGAGCACGTGGAGCGAGTCGATGGCCACACTGGACGGTAGGGTGACGTAATAGGTGAGGCCAGTGATCGAGACGGCGACGTAGCTAGCCTCCTTCCACACACCAAGCAGACGACCAAGGATGCCACCACTGAAGTGACTGTAGTGAAGCAGCTGCGACACCATGTAGAGGGCCAATACCATGGCGGAGTACAGGAAGATGGGCATGGTGGAGGTGTAGAGAAGCTTGATCAGGAAGCTGACCCACCGCCCACGCCTCTCCCACAACTGTAGGGGTAGCAGCATCTGGACGCCCTTGAGGTAGACTGCCTTGAGAAGGACGAAGCAGGTGGCCAGTAGGTTCATCACGTTCAGGAGGTGGTGACAGAGCATGGTGGCGACGATCGCACGGGTGTTGCCGGCCTCGACGACGGCCTGGTGGATGATGGCGAGGACGATGCCCTTGAACTCAGGGCCCGTCCGGTGTTCACAGTCATGAGACTAAACGCCTGCCAGATCACCTTACCACAGGTGTTTGTGGCGTAGAGCAGGGAGTTTTTAGAGCATGTAGAGTGATATGCTGCTCTCCTCAGTCTAAACGCATGGCAGGGACAGGCATCGAAAGGGCTCCCTGCTGCTGTATTGTAGCCATGGTAGGGGCAGGCATCGAAAGGCTTCCCTGCCGCACTATAGCCATAGCAGGGGTAGACGCCAAAGTGAGCCCTACTGCAAGATCTAGTCACCATAGCAGCATGATAGCCTGGCATGTTTGTGTACTAGGATTAGATGGGTAGAGTTGTATTTATAGCTTCCCACTGCAACTCAGTAAAGTGAGTGAGTTCAGTTTTACCATCTCCTCTGCAGAGCTCCGGCCAACGCTAGTGCTTGTGTTGTGTGTGTGCATGCTCTGTTCTCCCTCCCTTCTTCTACCTCTAGTCAGCCAGAATAGTGTTTTGGCTTGTTTTTTCAATGAAGCGAACAGGGCCAGTGTGTGGTCGGCAACGCCGGTGAGCGGTCGACTCACCCGTGTGGGAGATCCTGGGTCCAACAAGTGGTATCGGAGCCGTACAAGCACTATCACCGGACTAACCGCTGGCGATGATGGATTGTTTGGAGAAGGGCAACAGCAGCGGCATTGCTGTGGATACGTAGCCACGACAGGAGGTCGTTGTGTGCATGGTGTGGGAGGTTAGTGGCACCAGTTGGCCGACGCTGACTCACACCATCTATGGTGAGTAGGCGGTGACCATGAAGGTCAAGCTTAGAGCCCGATGGCTCTAGAATGCCATTGATAAGGGCACTGACAATGAAGAAGATGACATGTCAGCATTGCAGGCTATCCTCACTGTTGTGCCAGCAGAGTACAGGGAGCCATTAGGGGTGAAGAACTCTACTAAGGAGGCATAGGAGGCCATTGCAGCGATGCGCGTCGGCTCTGACCGCACAAAGAAGGCGATGACCCAGCTGCTGAAGCAGTAGTACGCCAACCTCAAGTTCAAGGATGGTGAGTCGGTGGAGGACTTCTCCCTCCGCCTGTAGTCGCTCATCAGCAAATTGAGGAGTCATGGCGTCACCATCAACGAAGAAGAGGTGGTCTCTATGTACCTCCACTTTGTGCCGGTAAAGTACATCCAGATCGCTCTCTCCATAGAGATGATGCTGGACTTGTCCACCCTCACCATTGAGGATGTGATAGGCCATCTATGGGTGGTGGACGAGCGCATGGAGTAGGCCACAGCAACGATGGACAGTGGCAAGCTGCTGCTAACAGAGGAGGAGTGGGCTGCCCAGATGAAGAAGTCCAGGAAAGCCTCCTTCGCCATGGTGGCGATGGCAAGTGCCACGACAAGGCTTCTTTGGAGAAGAAGAAGAAGGCCGACCCTAACGCCTGCTGGTGCTGCGGGAAGGTAGGCCATTGGGCAAAGGAGTGCCCAAATTGCAAGCAGGAGAAGAAGGCTAAGGCTCATTTAGCATAGACTTTACTGATAGCGATGTTCTATGCACTGCACGATGTTGCGGCGAAGGAGAAGAGAGAGGTGATGGCAGTGGAAGGACACGGCAAGGCTCTGAGAGCTATCAACCTCGATGAACTGTGCTCCCAAATCCACCTCGAACGTGTGGGCGGTGAGTAGGAGCAGCGGTGGTACCTAGACTCTGGTGCCAGCAACCACATGATGGGCTCCAAGGAAGCCTTCTCTGAGCTTGATGGCAATGTGACCGGCACGGTGAAGTTCGGTGATGGCTCAAGGGTGGTGATCCGAGGGCGCGTCACCATCATCTTCAGGTGCTAGAACGGTGAGCACCATGCGCTAATGGATGCGTACTACATCCCACAGCTGCATTCAAGCATCAACCCCATTCGTTTCGCTGAAAAAACAAGCCAAAACACTGTTCCGGCTGATTTGTTGTGAGAGAAAAATATTGTTTCGGCTAAAAAAATAAGCTAAAAAGTATGGATTATAAGACAAGCAAATAGGGCCATCGTCAGCATCGGGCAGCTGGACGAGCATGGATGCGAGGTACTGATCGAGAGCGGGATCCTAAAGATTCAGGATCGGGAGCGGCGTCTTCTCACGAAGGTAAAACACCCACGTAATCGATTGTACCTTGTTGACTTGAAGGTGGAGCAGCTGGTGTGCCTGGCAGCATGGCACACCAAGGAGTCATGGCTGTGGCATGCCCGGTGCCCAGTTCAGCCATCTCAGCTTTGACACACTCATTCGACTAGAGAAGGTGGTTCAAAGGCTGCCCCACATCAAGCACGCAGGTGAGCTGTGTTATAGCTGCCTGGCCGAGAAGTAGAGGAGGCTGCCATTCCCAAAGGTGGCCAAGTATCGCACGGTGGACGCTCTCGAGCTTATCCACGGTGATATCTGTGGGCCAGTCATGCCAGCCACAAACGGTGGTCGGTGGTACTTCCTCTTGCTCGTAGATGATTGCAGTTGCTATATGTGGCTGCAACTCCTGATGAGCAAGGACGAGGTGGTAGAGGTGATCAAGAAGTTCAAGGCAAGCACGGAGGTGGAATGCGGCAAGAAGCTACATGTGCTACGGACTGATCGCAATAGCGAATTCACTTCGGTGGAGTTCGATGCGTACTGCACGGGTCAAGGTGTGGTGCGACACCACACCACGCCATACTTGCCACAGCAGAATGGTGTGGTGGAGCGGCGAAACCAGACGGTGGTCGGCATGGCTCGATCCATGATAAAGGCCAAGAGCATACTAGCAAGCTTCTAGGGTGAGGCGGTGTTCATCCTCAACCATGTGCCCACAAAGGCCCTGAAGGGCATGATGCCGTTCGAAGCTTGGTATGGGCGCAAGCCGAGCGTGTCCTTCCTCTAGACATTCGGCTGCATTGGCTATGTTAGGAAGATGAAGCCGGTCCTCACCAAGCTGGAGGATAGGAGCACACTGATGGTGCTCCTAGGCTACGAGGAAGGTACCAAGGCGTACCGGCTCTACGACCCATGCAGAGGCAAGGTGGTTGTCTTGTGCAACACATGTTCAACGAGAAGGTGGCCTAGGACTAGGACACTCCGGTCATGAGGGAAGCTGGCGGCTTCACTAGCACCTTCGTCATCGAGCACTTGGTCATCCACGGTGGTGGAGACACTGGAGAGGAGGTGCTGACCACTCCAGCAATAGAGCCGAGCACTCCTAAGGTAGTGCTGAGCATGCCAGGAGGGGTGCCGAGCACTCTAGGAGTGGTGCCGAGCGGTCCTGCAGTGGTGCTGACCACTCCAGGACAGCTGCCGAATGCTCCCATAGCAGAGCCAAGAGGTCTTGCAGTGGTGCCGACCACTCCAAGACTGGTGCCGAGCATTCCTACAGTGGTGCCAACCACTCCAGGAGTGGTGACGAGCGGTCTAGGAGTAGTGTCGAGCACTGTAGCTAGGGTGCCAAGCACTCCAGGTGCTGTGTCGACCACTCCGGTGGAATAGGGGACTCCATCGATGCTGATCAAGATTTGCCTCACCTCCAAGCGACATCATAGAGTTCATGGATGCTTTCCACGATGGTGAGGAGGTGCGGTTCTACAGGCTAGATGACATCATTGGTGGCACAGGGTCCTCAGGCCTGGCAGGTCAGCTGCTCAATGACCTAAAGCTGCTACTCGTCACCCGAGGCTTTGTCCAGCGTGAGGGCATCGACTTTGAGGAAGTCTTTGCACTAGTAGAACACATGGAGTCCATCCAACTGCTGCTGGCTTTGGCAACAGCGAAGGACTTCCTCAATGGCGAGCTAGCGGAGACGGTCTTCGTCAGGCAACCTCCGGGTTTTGCCATCAAGGGAGCGGAGCACAGGGTGCTCCAACTACGTAAGGCGCTCTATGGGCTGTGGTAGGCCCCGTGAGCGTGGAACGCCAAGCTTGATGCCACGCTAGGCAAGCTTGGGTTCACACGGTGCACAACCAAGCACGCGCTCTACATGTGGTGATGGGGAAGGAGGAGCTCATCATTGGTGTGTATGTGGATGACATGATTGTCACCGGCGCGTGTGTCAAGGACATCGACAGCTTCAAGCGCAAGATGGTGGCTCATTTTCGAATGAGCGATCTCGGCATGCTCTCCTACTACCTCGGCATAGAGGTGAGACAAGGGAAGGAGGTGCTCACGCTTGGTCAGAGCGCATACGCCTCGAAGCTGTTGGAGCAGAGCGGTATGGCTGAGTGCAAGCCATGCATGACTCCGATGGAGGAGCGACTGAAGCTGATGAAGGCCAGTACCGCGGCGAAGGTAGATGCAACACTCTACACGAGCATCATTAGCGGTCTACGCTACCTAGTCCACACAAGGTTGGATATTACGTTTGTCGTGGGCTACATCAGCCGCTTCATGGAGGATCCCCAAGAGGATCACTGGGCCACGGTGAAGCGACTGCTGTGCTACTTCAAGGGGACGATGGATCAGGCGATCGTCTTCCCCAAGACTGGTGGAAGTGGGCTACAGCTCACTGTGTTTAGCGATGCAGACATGGCAGGAGACATCGACGGACAGCGGAGCACCTCTGTCGTGCTCGTCTTCCTCGGGTCAGCTCCAATCTCATGGCTATCACTGAAACAGAAGGTGGTGGCGCTGTCCACGTGCGAGGCAGAGTACATGGCAGTGGCTACAGTGGCGTGCCAAGCTGTGTGGCTGCACCGGCTGCTAGGTGAGCTAACCGGTGTGGAAGCTCACCCACCGGCACTGATGGTGGACAACCATCCCGCCATTGCCCTCACAAAGAATCTGGTTCTCCACGACCAGAGCAAGCACATCAACATAAAGTTCTACTTCCTCAGGGACTGTGTCGATGGAGGGCAGATCATCATCAAGTTTGTCGAAGCTGGTCGACAACTCACGAATGTCCTCACCAAGCCGCTCGGCCGTCTTTGGTTCACGGAGCTGAAG